TTTAACACTTTGTCAGCAGGTGTGTCGTGAATTTTTAAATTAGTATCCTTTAGTCTATTTAAATTGAAGGTATTATATGTTAATTACAACTTGGAAACTGGTAATTGGGTTTTAGGTCTAAAATAGTTCTAGAATACGCAAACTGTGGAATGCCTTAAGAAATTTCAATGTCTAGACTGACAAAGGGAACTACCCAAGTGTTACACTTACTTATTAATGAAACTTTTCCAGCTTGTAGAGCTCGTCGAGCTGAACACGCTTATATTGTTTAAAAGATATTAACAATTACAGTTAGTTACTCGTTACATTCTGAAGTATGACAAACTCACACATACAACTCGCAATCTAGAGATCCAAGGTTCAAATCCTTGGTACCCAACATTTTTTTTTATTTAATGATAATTTGTCTCTTTTTGAATAACTATTACATAAAAATTATCATAAAAAAAAAAAAAAAAAAATTGTTGGGAACCGAGGATTTGAACCGATGATCTTCGGATTGCGAGTCATGGATCCGCTCCGTGGTTAAACACAGGACTCGCAAACTAAAGGTCCTCGGTTCAAATCTTTGGTTCCCATTATTTTTTTTTTTTTTTTTTTTTTAATGATAATTTTTCTCTTTTTGAATAACTAAAATTCTATATAATTCTAAACTAAAATTCTATATTCTATTTTGAATAACTTGAATTCTATAAAAATTTCAGTGTATGTAATTAATTATTAATAAATGCAATGATTATAGCACAGCTGTAATAGTTATTCAAGAAGAGACGAATTGGAATGCATGATTTGGAATGCATCTTGAAATAGAACGTTCGCCTGGTATGAATAATTAAATCACTAAATGAGCTGTCTGGAGAGAATTTAATTTCTACAAATCCGTGATTCATACAAACGAAAGTTCTTGCTTTCCGTTTTAACGTGGGTATTCATTTTCTGGTGAACAGTGGAATCAAGGATCATTGACTAAACCAGTCAGCAAGGATAGTAACGAAGGAAACCGGACGTTAACGATCGGTCACGTGCTCGACCGGTAGATAAGGGGTTGGAAAAGGAAATTCCTGTTTAGAAAATTACCGCGTCATTACCCTAACCATGGTGGTCAGTAGGAATAGGGTGGAGGGCCGGCTGGTAATGTCCGCTACAAAGTAGATTGTCGATTGATAAGAACGAGGCGAAGAAGAAATTAGAAGGAGGCACCCTTGCTGAAGAATTATATCGGGGATTTTGAGACGATAAGCAACCCCCTCGAAAGCGTGACTGGGTAAATTCATCGTCGACTTTATTATTTAACCACTCGAGAGCTTTCGATTCCTTATTTCTATCCCGTACTTTTGTATTTTCATTTCTGCGGTATATTAGATAAGAATTATAGTATAAAGGGTTAATATTGGATTTTCTAATAAAATCCAATACGTAAACTCAAAGAGAGTTATTCGCCCCACGTAGAAAGCTCGTTTCCACGCAACGCAAATCCATCGCGCTGTTGTCTTCGTGTCGTGTACGACTGCTGTCCATTATACGACATAAAAATTCCTTCCATCCTCGCGATAAGATCGTTCAACCGAGTCGCGTGTCCTAGCACAGGATCTGATAACAAAACTAACCCGAGTCCTCGCTGATCTCACCTTTTCTTTCTCCTCTGTCTTCCTTTTTTCCCCTTATTTCGCGCACAAATAGACGAACGAACGGAGGCAGAGATGCAGGCAGATAGAGAGACACGTACGAGCACGAATGCGGCACACAGGCGTCGGAACCCTGTCATCGACGACCCCAATCATCCCCCCCGGCAAGCTTCATCGAACGAAGGCTGTCAATATCGTCGTCGTCGTCGTCGACGGTATAAGCAGATCCGATGATGTACGCTCGACGTCAACGAGTCTCCGTAAGATATCGGACGCGCTTTCGATTCGACGCGCGCGTGAGAAAATAGGGTGCGAAGAATCGCTTTGTGAAAACTCATCCCTCTCATTCTCACACGATCTCCTTTCGTTCCCCGTTTTCCCTACACGCTCACCCCCGTCCCTTTTCTGTTCCCGTCTTCCCTCTCACCGGGACCGATTTTTTTTTTTTCATTGTTGCACTGGGAAACGGAGGAAATTCGCGACAGACGAGCCATTTATGAATCATTATTTCCATATATCGTTAACCCTTTTGGTATGAAATAATTTCTGGAATTAATTTTCACAGAATTAAATTTCCCATGAATCGTAGAAATTTTTCCAATTTTTCCACCCTTCACCAGAAGCGATTTGCCGGTCGAAACCGCGAAAGACAGCGATAAAGATCGACGAGTATGTCCGCGTAGTGGCGTGTTTGATCGACTCGATCAAATATTTTTCCGAGGCGAGGGAAGATTGGAAAAGCTCTGGAGGGGGGAAAGTGGACGAGTTCTCGTGACAAAAGTACAACGTTCAGGGGGCAGGTTCGGGCGAAGAAGGGTGAAGAGCGGAGTGATACACGGAGCAGCGTAGAATAATGTGGCGAGGCATTTCCGCATAGGAAGCCGTGCATTAGGCTATCAGATCGAGCACGCTCGACAACGACTGCCGGCAGAGGCCAGCAGGAAAAAGTGTCCGGGGTAAACCCTTACGTGATTAGTCGTCAAAGGAGAGGGTCCCCGTAGGGTGAAAGTGTGCCTAATGAGCCGCGAGATTGGCACCTTCGTGTCGTCCTTTAATCGGCATTTTACGGGAAAACTTGTACGAAACTAGTATGCAAGGATTATCAAGAGGAAAGTTGTCAATTTCTCCCTTTCACGATCGTTAGGGTGGCCGAAGGGGAGGGCGCGCCGGTAATTATTTATGGACACGGCCGGCTAGAAACATTGAGATTATTACTGGCACGGTTCGAAGGGAGGATCTTTTTTTCCCCCTTGCGGTTCATTCTCTACCAGCCGCAACAGTTATCTGTCGCAAACGGTCCGCCTCGAACGCGTTAATTTTATCGCCGGGTCCCGGTTAACCCTAGAGCGGCCGAGCACGACCTGTACCGGTAATTAATGTCAAATATTCAATTTACAATCATACGTTCTATTCTTAAGATTGTTCGACATACAATATTTTGTTGGAAGTTAGCAAACGTAGATCACATAATTTTTTCCAACCCTCGGACGGCGGATCATGGGGAGAGCTCTAATTTTTCTCTCTAATTCTCTAAAGGAGACTTAGAGACAACCCTCGTCGTGTTTCGCTCATTTTTGGTCCGGTTCGTGATCGAAGTTAAGAATGGCAAAGGGTAGGTCAAAGGAAAGGCACCGAACAGCCCCGCGGCTTACACGACAAAAAATATATTTCGTCCGGTAATTAGCTTTATTTAATTAACTTTCACCGAACACGCTCTGTTCACTGTAAACGATTCTCTTTCTCGTTGCCATCGATGGTGATGTTTCGAGAGAACGAAACAGGGCCAGGGGGATGAGATCAAGGGACGTGGGGTACGATTAATATCACGAGGGATAACTTCTTCCTCCTAGTGGTTCGTTATAAAAACCTACAGATTTATGAATTATTTTTTTTTCTCTCTCTCTATGCTTCGTGCGTCGGGTTTTGAATTTCGTACGAACAGTTCCTAATCCATCGCCGAGTATCACTAGATCGGAACAATTTCAAACGTTCCGCGAAACGTGACTCGACCGCGTTATTTTGCAACGGAATAAAATTTCGGCCAACTTTTTGCTCATTTTCCCGGGACGGAATTTTAAGTGTACACCCTTTCCTCATTTCCATGGGGCCGTTTTTAATGGACCTTTTTCTGTATTAATTAAATTTTTGCGGCCGGTCTCGCCGCGGCTCGCTCGAGTGCTTCGAATATTTCGTAGCAGATCGGCGAAACGATGCGCGATGATGGACACATCGGAAACCGATGATGAAATTCACGCCGTGTCTTTCTATGTCTAGCGCGTGAAAAATTTTTATTATTCATTTACACGTAGGTATAAGTTCAATTTAACCGGACTATTATTAATATTTCAAATTTGATATTTTTCATTACACGAAGATTATAATAATTATTCGAAAATTTGGTGGTAATGCGAGATAATGATCCTAGAATAATATTTATCCAAATTAGGATTCTGAGGAAAAATGACGAAACGAACAGTTTTGTCTAACTATGAAGATACATAACGCGAAGTGTTGGAGGCGGTTGAAAACTGATGGTCTCCAGGAGGATGGGCGTCTCTCGCGATAAGAAAGTGGCAATAATGTAGCGGCGTGACCATGCGTGGCCTTCTCGACCGCCTTGTATCTCGGATCTGTACTGTACTCAGGCTAATTATAATCAGCCTAATGCTTGTTGGCCGGTGTGTGTCGGTACCCGTGGCCTCTTACTCTCTATACCTGGCGCAACGTAGTCACGTTACTTATGCCCAGCTGAAGAGAGGGTAATTAAGATTCGGACACACCCATCGTGACTCTCGTCTCTTGGGCTCTGACCGCTTCTACGCAGGGAGTGGTCGATCCCTTGAAAAGCAACTCGTTCTCGTTTGCATACACGGAACACGTCGGGATCGCGTAACAGAAACGTCTTCCAGGATCTCCGCGCGTTTGTTTTTTTTTTTCCATCGAACACGGAAACTAGAGTCGAGGGAGTGGCGACACGATGTTAATCGAGAATGAATTCGAGGATCCGATATCCGCGATGGGAACTTGGTTCTTGTCGTGAACCATGAATTCACGATCGTGGCGAATGTTATGCAAATCCTCGTATATTCGTATGGTGACAGTCCTTGCTCAATTACCGAGTACACAATGATCATGCAATTAAATGTCGGACCAAGAATTCTTTCGATATCTGACAAAAAATTTTAATCATTTTATCGAAGTTGTAATCATACGTCAATAGTTTGGTATTATTTCAAATAATCTTGATACAATATTCGATTAAAACGAAGATATCCGAGAATAATAAATAATTAAAGATTCAGATTACTGAGCGAACTTCGAAACAGTTCTTGGTCAACTTCGAAGGCAAACGATAAATTACATTGTTCTACTCACCGGAAGTTGGAGAACCACTTGACCAGCTGTGCGGTGTTGTTCTTATTGAACTTGATGTCAGGGAAGTACATCTTGAGGATGGACGAGGTCGGGTACCTGACCCAGAAGAACATCAGTTTCGCCTTCCTCAGATGCATCGGCGTCAACGTCGACGAGTTCATCGTGGTTAAGGAAATACTGTTTGCTTGCATTACATCATCAAGATTTCACCCCCATCCGAAGGGTGAATCCTTGTTGCGAAAAATAGAAATACCTTTACGCTATCAACGAGCGAAGAGCATGGGCTGTAATTGTATAGACGAGCGGTATCCTATCGTAGGTCCGAAGAAGTACGTTTCTGTGTACGCAAATATCTCAAACTTAATCGTGTTTCCTTCGTATCAAATTGGATTAGAAATCGTACAAGCTGTGGATGTCGCGAGGGTAGTCGGGCTCTAACGTTCTCGCCCAGGTTGACCCGTACGATTGGTCGTATCCTCAACGGAAGCCTTACCGACTCCTTATCGGTAATAGGATCTCTTCATGTGGTTTCATCGCATTCTTATTTAGTTAATCCGTGTGTTCAATCTTCTGCGGCCCGTCTGTGATTTAAGTAACCAGAAAACTTTTCGTTGCATTTCATTCGAAAGATTGGAAGATGTTGAAAAACATTTCTGAACAGCTCAATATCTCTTGGAACAATTCTTTTATCATTTCGAACGATTTAAATAAATTAACGAAATAATTATGAAGTGGAACCCGCATCAATAACGAGGCTCGCCACGTGATATCGCGCAACAGTTTCCCGCGCGATTCGAACGATCCTCGTCGAGGGGTGAAAGCGACGAATAATCGTGAAAAAATCTGTGCAACGTTTTTTTTTTTTTTTCACCCCGGACACTCGATCCACTGAAAGCCATCTAATTCCGTATGGCGACAGGAAAAGCGCGGAACGTTTGCAAATTTTCACGAACGCCTATCGTCATTGGTGTTACTGTCAACCGCGCGAAACTCTCTCATCGTACAAGCAAGCTGCTCGTCGTTCACGAGCGAACGAGTCGACGAGTGTAGTCGTTCGCATCAAACGTGCGTGCACCGCGCGTCGCATTTTGCGCTCGTGGTAACGTCGATGAGCGATAACGAGATGCCAGAATGCAATAAGGGTTATTTCGCCTTCCATTCCTCGTGCCCTTTTACCCCTTATTATCATACGTAAGCGGTACATCGGAAAAGCAGAAGAAACGATACACCGACCGTTTTGATTCTTTGGATAATTTAACACCTTCGAATGTTCTAATTAACGACCCTTTGCTAAACGGGCGCTAACCTGAGAAAGATGACCGTCGCCGAGCATCTACCGAGAAAGAAACTCGTCCAACGTGCAAAAGCATATTCGGATTGATGGAAGGCCGGCAAGGCAGGAACAGCGAGAGACAAGGGTGAATCGAGAAGAGAGTGGTGAACAGCAGCAGGTTGCGCCGCGGCCATGCGCTCGACCTACCCCAAGAGGAGGGAGTGAAAAAAATGCGCCATTGATTTTACATCAAAGGCCGGCTAAAAAGGCGGCAAAGAACGCCGCGCTGCCGATCGAACGACCCGGACCAACACATGCCGTTGCAGTTTCCGACGTTGCATCGTTGCGACGCGTTTACACGCCCCCGCCCGGCACACGTCGTTTTTTCCTGCTTGTCAGCTCCGATAGGTGTGTGGAATATATATTTACGAGCGCTTTCGGTAAGTGAGGGAGAAGGGCAACGCGACAGTTACCTGGCCGGGTCATGCGTGATAATCGAGCCTGTTGAACTTTTCGCGCCCGTTGATCACGCTTACAGACGATCCTCAGCACGCGTCTTAACTTGACCGGTTATTTATATCAAGTGAAAAAGCGTAACTATCAGGTTACGTTTTCGCACTTGCATCGCGTTCGAAAGATTTACAATATTTCGAATAAATGAAATAAATTCGGTAGAGTAAGAGCCGTGAATTCTCGTACGGTCCGAGAAGTAGTAGAAGTGGCTTATCTACGATAAGTCGAGACGTTCGCGAAGGGAAGTTCGCGGAACGGCTGCTCTCTCGTTTCCGCGGTTAAATTCCGAAATTGCGGGACAGATTATTGGCTTGCGAAGTTGGGTGAGACTGGAGGCTCGGGGTGGGCCCGAGTAGGCAAAGAACTTTCGACCTGGCGCGTTGTTGCCGGACAAACTCTGCTCGTAGGTGCAGCCAACATTAGCCTAACTCCGTGGCAAACTAATCTAACATTCGTCCGAGCTTCCCTCCCCCCTACCCTATCCCACCTCCTCCGCCCTTCGACTCTTTGTCGACTTCGTTCTCCTTGTCGACCGGTCGACTTTTTCTCCCGTTTCAACTTCTACTTGTTTCTCAAAACTTTTTCCCAAGCCTTTCGCGTTCCCTTCAACAGGGAGAAAAAGAAAACATTCCTAAGCATCGTCATCAACTCTTTCGCCTTTCAACCGTTTTTTGACGAGTAGCCCCATGCTCTTCCCGATTTAATACCGAAAGTTTAACCGTACGTACTTTCTTTGGAGAACGTTCAGACACTGTCCGTCCGCGATATTACTTCGCGCTTCCGAGTCAACCGAGATTCAGCTGCTTGTTGTTGCGTTAACGGAACCGGAAATACCGTCGCAACGGGTTGCGAAACTTTGACCGGTGTCTCGGTTGTTCTGGACGTTCTCCAACTTTCCACCAACGGAAAAGCGCGGATCGTTTTTTTTTTTTTTTCTTTTCCACGACGTAGCATTAGAAAAGGATATTGTAGGCTGAATCCCGTCGTAACTGATGTCGCCGGAGTTGCAATCACCGGGGGGCCGGTCGTTGCTGTCTATCCTGAGATGTCCGTAGTCCGGACTGCCATGCTGGGCAGCCGCCAATAAGGCAGGATGCAGTATAGCCGGCGGATGGGGCAGTGGAGGGGAATCCCTGAGCTCTACACCTCCACCAGGAGGGCTGGCTGGTAGGTGATGCGGACCCGGAGGTGGTACCTGACCCGGATGACTCGCGTGAGGGTTGAAGAACGGCGAGTACGGCGAGAACACTTGACTCTCGTGGAGACTTGGATTCGGTATCGCTACGCTGGTTGGCAGAGACACTGGCAGCATCGGTGGCGGTGCGTGATACGATCTCGGCGGAGGCGGGGGCGGTGGACTCTCGCTTCCTCCTTGCGATGCGCAACCCTCCTGCGCCAGGATTCGGGACACCGTCCTCGGCGTGATCCTCGTGTCCGTTACCTGCGATGGGAAATACTAATTGATACCTTGACTTACTATTGTGTCATTCAGCTTCTTAATATATATAAACTTAACACTAAAATTAACACGTTCACCGACACGCTCCACATTATTTTAAATAATTTATATTAGATTATAGAATTTTCATTAGGTCGGTCAACGTGTTAATATATATATATATATATACATGCAAGATTGATATAAAACATTTTATAATTACTTCTAATTACTAATTAAAAGTGTTTGAAAGTTCAATAATATTGTTCAGTAGAAGTTTATGTATCAATCTAATACTTGTAAAAATGATTTTACTATACTTGAATAAATGAAATTTTAAAAGATAATCACCTTATGGCGTTTTTTCTTCGGTGTTATGACGAGCGAGAGTGCCTCGTTCTGTTCCGAGTCCCTGCTTTCTCTCTCCTCTCCCCTCATGTTACAATATTGGTCGCGTTGCTGTTGCTCTCTCTGCTGATGTTCCAGCTGTTGATGTTGTTGTTGCTGCTGTTGTTGCGGTCCCTGCATGCAGGTCCTGTACATCGTGGGCGGTTGGGAGGTCTGAAACCTTCCGCCGCTCGCCCTCACGTGCGGGGGCAGCTGATTCATTTGATTAAGATTGTTCTCCGTGGGGCCGGAATGAGGACCATGGGGAACGCCAGCCATGGTAACGATTTGAGGGAAACCCGTAGATTGTGGAGGAGGGGGCCCGCCATTGTGGGGCCCCCGTGGCCCGTTTGGGCCACCGGGTTGCGGTGCTGCTCTGTCAACTACTTTCGTCCTTGGCGATTTTCTTTCCAATACTTGGCTCACCAACATCAGATCCTTGTTCAACTGTTCAGCGGCAACCTGAGCCGCCTCGCTTTGTTTACCAAGAAACCTCCTCTGTTGCACGAACCTGTTAACTACTTTGTCGATCAGACCTGTCAAGCACGAGGTGATCTCCACTTTCAACGCGTCCGAGAGACTTTGCAGGTCCTCGTCGGTGATGTGTGAAGCCGACGAGCCGGTGGCCGCTGCGGCTGGTCTGAACATATTTATCCTTTCTTGGAAATCTTTGTGCTGAAGAGGAGTACCCGCTGGCTGCATTTGCGGCGTCTGCGGGGTGGACGGGCCGGTATTGCTTTGGCTCTGTTGCTGCGCTTGACTCGGTGGTGGCGGTGGAGAACTTTGCCGTTGATGTTGCTGCTGCTGTTGTTGCTGCTGCTGCTGCTGTTGCTGTTGCTGTTGCTGCTGCTGTTGTTGCCTGACAGCCGCCTCCTGATGCTGCTTCATTCTCTCTAGAGCAGCTTGTTGCTGTTCGAGGTAGAGTTTGTGTCCCATATGATACATGGCGGCTGCCGCGGCATGCGGGTGTTCGGTCGGCAGTGCCGGCAGCCCGTTATACGATGGTGGATGAAGTCGGGTCCGTTTGGTCGGTGGTTGAGGACTGGCCGGTGCACCAACGATGTCGCCAATATCCGAATCGATTCTACTCGTAAGCTCATCGTACTTTTGCTGCATCACAGCCAATTGTTCGTGTAAACTTTTCAACTGCGACTGAAGGTTATCCTTTTCCTCGCGTTTCTGCCTGATCGTCAGGGGATCCTCTAGTTCGTCGTTCACCTCCTCGTCGTCCATCATGGTATCGTTGACACCGTGCTGGAGAACGTGGTGTATGGTTTGTTGCTGCGGATGATAGAGCTTACGTTTCTTACAACCGTTCACCGTGGGAGTTTGAAGGGCCGGACTGCTGCGCATCGTGCTGACGATATTTTCAACACGTGCTCGTTTAGTTTCCGTGGTCGGCGAACTGGTCTCGGTTTTCGGTATGATCGGACAAGGAGAATGGCTCGGGCTACGTTTGATGTTCAACGAATCCTGCAACTCTTCCTTGACGGAAACAGAGCCTGACCTTGGTTGGGTGGGACTGGGTGGTAAACTCTGTTCGCAGTCGGATCCATCGAGATTGGCCCCAGGCTCCATACCAGCTTCGGCGAATGCCTCTTCCATAGCACGTGCGGCCGCGGCTGCGTCCTCCGCGCTATCCTCAGCATCGCCCGGCATCACGGTATCACGATCACTGTGATTCGCGTTATTCACGACGTTGTTTCCATCACCACTCTCCTCTCCACCACTATGCACTGTTCCACTACGTGCACTATCACTATTTTGTTGAGGACTATGCTGATGCTGTTGTTGAGACTTAAGTAAATCCGCTGTGGTGTTGTTGTTGTTGTTATTGTTGCTGTGTATACTGTTATTGTTGTTCGACTGCTCTTGGATCGAGCGCGCGGAGAGTTTGCGCCCTTGGAGTATGTCGCGGAGCATGTGCTGCGTAAGCTCGGCGGTGGCGGGATCGTCGCAATTAACTACAGCACCGGATTGCAAATTAGCGGCTGGGTCCATGCCGGCACCAGTCATTCCGTGACCGCCCTCTGGCGGTGAGCCACCGGCGTCACTGGCCTGTTTGACCTGTCGTCCGAGTAGCTCGTTCAACATCTTGGCGGGGCCGTAACCCGGTGCCCCGAAGAAGCCGAAAGCCGCGTGGGCGGAATGCTGCTGAGCTGTAGGACCCGTCGTAGTTGTACCTAAATGACCTTGACTGCTTGCCGCTCCAGCCTGTTGTTGCTGGAGTTGTTGTTGTTGCTGCGACTGCGATTGATGATGTTGAGATTGTTGTTGTTGTTGTTGTGGTTGTGGTTGTTGTTGTTGATGTGTTGGCCCGCTGCCACCGAAGATAGAACCGTACAGACCACCGCCGTGGAAGGATGGCCGGGAGGTGAAGTGCGGTATACTCGAGTAGTTGTTGCGCGGCTCGCCGGCGTCCACGCGCTGTCTGGTGCGCTTCTGCTTCTTCTGAAGTTGCTGTTGCTTGCTTTCCGTGGTTGCTCCGTAGGGGGCGAAATACTCGGTCTCCTCCCCCGATGACATCATCGGCCGTCTGGTTGGTCGGCCCCCCGAAGGCCTCCGCGTCCCCTCCCCGCCAGGGTTCCTTGTCACCCCTCCCCTTCTCGCTCGAATAGCCCCTCGTGGCTCAGTGCGCTGCCTCTGCTTCTCTACTCTACTCTCTCGCCGTTTCCCCTACCACAGCCGCCTTTTCTCCTCGTTCCTTCTACCTTGTCCTCCCCACTTTTTGATCGCCAACACACTCTCCTCTCAACACTTTCTTCGTCTTCGGCGTCTCCTTCTCTTTCTCTTCCTTTTCCTCCTCCACCTTTTTCTCCTCCGTCGCGCCTCCGCCGCAGCCTCCTCCTCCTCCTCCTTCTCCTTCTCCTTCTCCTTCTCCGCCGCCGCCGCCGCTACCTCCTTCTCCTCTTCCTCCTCTTCTTCCGCCGCCTCTTTCTCCTCCGCCGCCGCCGCCGACGACGACGACGTCGGCACCCGTCTCCTTCCCGACGAACTTTTGCTTTCTCCTCTTCACCTTCTTCTTCTCCTTCTCTCGCGCCACCTCCTCTTCTTCTTCTTCCGTCGTTCCTTGCTTTTTCTCTAGATTCTTTTCACTATTCCTCGCCCCGCTCCTTCCGCCTTGGAGCTGACGCCAACAGCTGCAACTTCTCGGTGACTCGGTGTCGGCTGTTCGTCCTCGTCTCGGGATGACGATTTCTTTTCACGAGACGCGGCTCGTTCTCGGGACCAGAGTTTCCACTGCTATCGCTTTTCCTTAAGTTTTCCCCACCGGCACCGCCGCTTCCGCTACAGTTTCTACCGTTGTTGCGTTTCTTCACGACAGTCGATGCGATATTACTTCCGTTGATGATCACGAGAAGTGAGACCGGTGCTCTCGCGGGCGGAATCCTCGTGCTCCCGCCTGGGAGCTGCATCCTTCGAGCTCGCCAAAGGGCTAGGTGCCCCTCGCTCCCTCGTCTCGATTTTCCTTGCCGCGATTCTTCTTATTCGTCTGCAACAGAAAACACGCAACGAACATACTTTAGTTGGTCATTAAAAAATCATCTCTTCACGCAGCTAGTAGCACGTCGATGTGTTACGCTTATGGCGTCAGTTAAATCGCCCGTTCGATTTTATTTTCAACCCCTTCTGTCTGTATAAATGTTCCTTCGTTTCTCTAGATAAAGCTGAACGATATTGAGTACGGCTGTCACATATTATTTTTCCTCCCTGACATAACTTTGCTCAGCTCAGCGAAACTTAATTACGATCGATAATTTCGAGCGCAAAAATAGTCGACGCTGAACCCGAGGTTCTTTCAATTTACACTCATAATTTCTAAAAATAAATCCTACCAAAAGGAAATCCGACAGCCACTAGCAATCTTTTCATTTTATATCACCTATCGTTCGGTTTTAACCTACTATGCAATCGTCCAGATTGATCCAAAGAGAAATTAAGTATTCCTTCTTGAAGTGGAAAAAGAGTATTGGTTCATTGTACGATCAAGTTGCGCAACGATAAAAAAAAAGACCACGAAGAAGGGAAGTAAGTCTTTATCGGGTTAAAAATATAGTAATCATCAATGGCGACAACGCGAAGTATAGCGTTTGCGTAATGCTAGTAATGTAGCGAATATCTTCGAGCGTCAAACTAAAAGTAGCCGGGATTTGTGGATGAAGAGAGTGGCTTGCTACAAGGAGAGGGCATAAGAAAATTACTTACGTTGAATTTCTTATTCGGAGCACCGTCAGTTCCGGACAAGTCGACACTTTGTCTGGGATTACATGTACGCGTTGATCGATAGAAAAGCGAAGAGGGGTGCAAAAGAATAATTGATAGGAAATTTTTAGCCGTAGACCGGCGTACCATCTAGCTTGGTAAATTCTGTTTTTAATAATAAATAACGCGACGCGCGTAAGAAGGAAAGGATAACCGTTCAACGAATTCATTCACCGATGACAGGGGTTGCTGGGATCGTTTCACGATTCAATTGCCGATACGTAAGTGCGTGGGTACACCAGCCTGATACGGCACTCGGCTCGGCGTGCACCAATATCAACGCGATACACGTTTGCGTGAATGTGCATAAGATTCGAAGCAACAGCTGAGCAGCTTAAAGCACCTGCGCTCAATAGGCCGACATATTCCATAGTTTGCCTACGTACGAGCCGCCTGCGTTCGAGGACACGAGTACTCCTCCCTATATATCGACGAGCCGACTAGACGTATATATACGCGCCGCTCATGAAGCAACAAGAACGCTCAAAGAGCGATACGTATATAGCAACACGTGGCAAAAGCGTCGAATTGGTGGAAACACGGAATCGTTGTACCTTTTTCTCCTCTCCCTCCGTGTTGCGCTCGCGCAGTTCCACTTTCCCTCATCTATTCTCGTACAGAAAGGGCTGATTATCTGCTTAGAATTCATCGATCATCGCGTTTAATTTAACAGATAAAACGAAAACATCGATTTGATATATTTTTCGAACGGTTTCACGGCAAAGAAACATTCCCTGCTCCCACGCAATTATCTTAGGCAGCGAACAGAGGGTGCGCTCGGTGGACGAAAGGGTGACATATGGTCTCAGGCTCGATAACGTCTACGATCGTACCTGCCTCGAGGAACGCGAACGCTTCGAGGGGGGTCAGCAACTTCTGTCCTTACTATTTTTCACTTCCCTTCTGCCTCGTCATGCGTGCCATACTCAGCAATGAAAAGCTGCCCCGCCGGAAATGCTTTTAGGAACTCTCCCACTGTATCGCCTCCGCTCGGAAGTAGATACCTACGGCTAATTACACTGCTGTTCCATAAAGAAACCTTCCTAAATTTACGAACAATATTCGTATTCTCTTAAAACGGCACGGTTGAAAATAAACTTTTTCCATCGATAGATTAAACGAATGAATAATTTTCGATTGAGATCGATGAACAGTGTTACTGGAAAAGTTTGAAAACTCGTCGGTGGTGGAATAAAAAAACACGGCTTTGGTATTAGCAGAGTACGTATTTTGACGGGCAATGACACACGAATCGATCACTTTTCAACGATGCGAAAACACCCTGATGAACCAGCAGCAACCATTTCCGGTGCGTCATGCGATATTTAACGTTTAAGCAGGTGACTTGATTCGAAGGGATTGCAGGTCATGCCGGTGGGGTTGCGATAGGAGATTAGAAAATCGTTTCTCGCCAGTGACTCTATTCAAAGTTTCTCATTATATAATTTCAAGAAGAATAATAACAAACAGGGAAGATATAATTGTTGAATGAAAATATTAACCGTCGAATGGAAGTGAATGAGAGACCGACTGGACTGGTAATTCCATTGACTTTTCCTGAAGACTTCCATCGTTAAGGGGTTAGGATCTAAGGTGGCCATTGTCTCGAACTATCGGCGCTGATAACTTCCACCTATAGGCCGGGTAATTAAGGAAGAGATCCGCGGACAAAAGGGCCCCGGGCAAGGAAAGCGTTTGTTAATCTCTTACCATCGATCACGCGGTTTCTATCGGTGAATCGACCTAGCATGAAATTTCAAAGAGAAAAACTTCGAATCGAAATTTTTTAACGAGTTCAGCGAAGAAAAAGAAGCTTGTTCTTCGTTGCCCGATGGATGCCCATCGCTCTTCCATGGATCAAAAGGTGAACGCTGAAGGATCTATATGAAAGGAACGAACTTGCTATGGTTGAGAAATTTTTCTCAGTCTTTGCATCAGTTTCTTTTCGAATCAAAATTAAATCTTTATAATAATAAAGGGTTGAGAGAACGGGTTAACCTCAGAACGAAAAATGCAGACACTGCAAAATTCATTTACAAATGTTATCTAATATTATAAATTTTTTGAAATGGTTCAGAAATGGTTATAGTATTATTAATTAATTCTCGGACGGCGGACCATGGAGAGAGCCCCTGAATTTACAACAAAAAGGAAACAATACTTCTACTTTGCGATCCCCAACGACTTCCTTCCGGCGAGTTGTACAAGTAGAAGGTTTCTGCTTGGTGAATATCACATGGTGCGCGTACCCCACATGGCGTTTATCGAGGGAACGCGGTAACGGCATGTGCATCGGAATTCCACCCCCTGTAGGTGTCATGTGGTCAGAGTGTTCGCAGGGGGTTGCATGGGAACTCGACTATGCTCATCAGTCCGTGTCCATTCTGTATGCACGTATAAGGTGTTCTAAGAGTAATACTTATAGTTACCTCAGATGGTTCCTTATATTTTATTAACAGTTGTTTAATTAATTAACCCATGACGAAAGGGGTCGATACCTTAAAATTCAAGAACATTGTTCTTTTTTTTATTTTCATGTATCCAGTATGAAAATTTGTAAAACAGCCTTGTAATTAAAAAATAATGAAAATTTTTACCATAGTTAGATGGTTTTCAGTTGCAAGCTGGCCTGCATTGCTACCATAAGGGCCATAAGGGGCTTGGCGATAAAAAAAGTCCATCTGGAAGAAACACCGCAGTCATTGACCTACACCGTGTGTACTTAGGACTTACAGAGAATGGTACGAAGATAAAATGATGGTATTAGCTTCCGCCTTGTCACGTTTACGTCACTACCCTTCGTATTTACCCTCGATACCTCTCTAGGTCAATGGCTGCAGTGTTACTTGCGGATGCAAGAAATTTTCTTATGGATCTATACCTATGCAACTTTATAACGTCTGTACGATTTAAGACCTATATTTCAATCTTTCGATAAAAATAATATTCAAAGTTACAGGACATTACAAAATAAAGAATACTCTGATTTTCAATTTTAGAGTCAAACTCTTCCAAATGATTAAGAATTACATTTCGAGGCGATGAGTATTTTTGAACACCCTATGAACACACTGCGTTGAACACGCATAGTTATGCACCGCTTTCCCCTCGATATAAAATTATTGTAACATTCGTTTCATTATTCCGCACAGGGCGACGGAGCACCCTTCGGTGACACGTATTCGCAGGCACATAAACGCGTCGGCGTTTCGTGACGCCTAATCGTGAGTGTGTACGCGAGTAGTACTCAGACATAGGGATCGAAACGGAGAGAGAATAGAATAGCAATACGAAGTGCAAGCGAGAGAGAGAGAGAGAGAGAGAGAGAGAGAGAGAGAGAGAGAGAGAGTGAATGAACAACGTTCTATATGCACAATGATACACACGTACAAAAGCAGAGGAACGGTGACTTGGTGTGTGTACACACACGGTTCACACGCGTTCCGCATATTATCGGGTTGTTCCGATGCAACAAGTTGACCGGGTGTCAATTGATGTGTTATTAATTGGAGGTTAATTGCGTTAATGCGCTGCCGAGCCCGCCTCCCACCTCCCACACCAGTCTCACCCGACAGCACCGCCACCCTCGCCACAATCCCATCGGCTGTTTTATTATTATTTTGCATTCGAATCGTTTTCGATTCACTGGCACGCGCCCAAACCAAACTTTCGCGAAGCCGCGAGACCGGGTAGGATGGGAAAACGCGAACGAGCGACGAAGCGAGCGTTGTAAAGAGGGAAAGAGAAAGGGAGACCGTTTAAAAGCCGGCGGTCTGTCACCGATTTTCATAATTCACAGCTCGTTAAATTTGTTTCGCTTTTTGCCTCGCTTTCCGCGGTTACGCGACCCGCGCCCATTAATCTACCTTCGGTCGTTTTCAATGAGTTTAATCGCGTTTCAAAAACAATGTGGGTCAACGGTACGGACCGACCGTGTTATTCCTGGCACGCGAGCATGACCTTTCCTCCGCGTTTTCATTTCGATTTCGGTACCCATTCATGACGCGTTACAGATAATACAAGCGCGATAATGAGCGCCACCCACTTTTACGCGACGCGTCTCGATGGTGCTGGAACTTTTCGGTTTAACCAACTGAATGGAAACTGGAAATTGATCTGACCGTGACACTGCCACAGGTATCCTCGCTGTTTCATCGATATTAAAGGGTTAAAAATGTTGAAGGCATTTTTAATTAACCCTTGAACACAGAGCCGGAGTCAATATAGACT